CCAAATCTGCATAAAACATATAGGAACACAGAAGCACAAACTGGAAAAACCTAGATGTATTAAAGCAAGAATGGAATGTATAAATATCATTATGCAGTGAACTGAGTGAACTGAAAAAGAATGACATTAATAGTGAGAAAAGGTATAGCAGTCAAAGAATATAATTCAAAGTCTAACAGAATAATATAAATAAGATTTCATGGGGAAACTATCAATATAATCATGATCCATGTTGATGTTTTAACTAGAGGCAGAAGAAAAAAATGAAAGATTCTGCACCTGGGTCATAGGAAATTGGAAAACAAAATGAGGAAACAGAGCAGAATCAAAAACTGCAGGAAAAATTGGCCTAGGGCAAGAAATAAAGCAGGAGAGTTCAGTCGAGTTTCTCAAACAATCAAAGAGGTGAATGTTTATACATTGACATAATGGTCAATATAGAAATAAAAAGACTAAATAACCAGGAACACATTCTCTAAAAATAAGACAAGCAGCAAAGACTATGGAAAAGACCAAAGAATTCATGGCTGAGATTGGAAACATTCAGCTATGAAGGAGCTTAAACAAGATCCTGATGTATATAAATATATCATTGAATGCTGTTAGAACTGTCCATGCCATTTTTCCCCAAGTTTTATGAATGACTGTGGAAACTGGGAGTGCATATAGACAGCACCTATAGTGCGTGACCATCCTGGGTTTTCCCGTGTGGCATCCAAACGATGCCCCCACGTAAATGCAACTGCATTCGGCACAAAGTAGAAAAACCCTGCTTTGTGCCAAAATAATTTGTCAGCAGGAAATATGTGGGTCTTCTTGAAAGATCTGTGTCTTTCTCACTGTGGATGGAGTCTGTACTGCCCACTCAGAAGTCCTGGGAATTCTGAGGGGGCTCTCCGCACAGTCCTCTCATGCTTTCCAGCTTTCATTAGTTTGGAATATCCGAAAGGGCTCTAATGCCCTCCTCAAATCCTCCAGAAAAGTGTTCAAAAATGAAATAACTTACCCTGTCACCATTAAAATGCTGCTAGAGCTCTCCTGGCTTATGGGAATGACACACCAGGAAAAGGGGGGGGGGGCAGAAGCAGTTTTCCTTCCCCTCCCCCCTTCTGGCACATCATTCCAATGTGCCAGGAGAGTTCTGGCAGCATTTTAATGGCATCCGGGTAAATTATTTTTATTTTTAAACACTTTTAGGGGGGTTTGAGAGGGATGGGGGCTGTCTCTGTCCTCCTGGAAGGTTCCAGGAGGGCATCTGGACCCCCCCCCCAAGAAAAGCATGCATTTTCTGGGGGGTGGGGGTTGGACTAGAACCCAGGAACAATCATGTTTTTAAAAGGGCTGTGTGGAACCAACCTGGATATAACATTTCTAGGAATTATAGCACTATGATTCCACTTTAAGTGCCTTAGTTCCATTCTGGGGTGTGTAGTCTGTCTGGTTAGTCAATAGAGTACTGCATCTGAAAATTTGAAGTGCCCCACTATAAACTACAAATCAAGGATTCCATAGGATGTTACCATGGCAATTAAAAGTGGGATCATGTTGATATAATTGTGCAGTGTGAAAGTGCCCCAGGTGACTTTGTACCTGAAAAAACCCATTCTATGTAGGGATGTTACAGCCATATCTTATATGAGGGATGTTACTCTGTTCGCCACAGGCAGAAGTGAAATATTCCAACATTTTGGCCATGTGCCTCTCTCAGATGAATGGGAGCTTCAGCTCAAAGTATGGCCCCTTTCTGCTTCTCTTGTAAATTTGTAAAGCATTATTGAAATGCAGCCAATTCTCTTTTTTAATGCCTCTTTAAGAAAATATAATTGGTTTTGACAGCAAACCAGCTAGAAAAAGCACTTCTAGATTAATTAACAGTGACCCATAATTAAACACAGCAGTACTTAGAGAAGCAACAGTCCCTTGATAGCACTGCTTTAGTTATAATGAGTATTTATCATCATTGTTTGCTTCCACAGTGGCAGTTATCATCTTTGATTGCCACATTTTCTAATTAAGTGGGTCTATGGATAAGGTACTGCAATATATTCATGATTTACAGATAGCTGTCAAGACAGAGATCGCATCAGAAAAAAACATGTGTAGTCATAGTTCTACGCATGTTTACCAAGGGGTAAGTCCCACTGAGTTCTCTGGGGTTAATTTCTATGTATATCTCCCATTCAAATCATTCATTAGCAGAGTATTTTCGCACAGTTTTTCCCAGGGGTTAGTGCCTTGATATTGCACTTTGAACCTTAAAAGCAGAATTTCTCTGATATATACAAGTGAAAAGATGTCAGTGTGATATCATATCAGATATATACAACTTGTATAGAGAGTTTTTTCTGTTGTAAACGTGTAGTGAGTACATGTGTTCTGTAGTGAATGTCTGTTTTATAATAACCAAGTGTATAAGTTAATGCATCAAACATTATATTATTGGGACCAAATATCCCAGGAGAATTTTATCAAATGTTTTAGTGTTATTTTACTTTATTTCCCATTAACCATGATAATGCCTTTTGATTTGTTCATTATGTTTTTATAATGGCTGCCTTGGCTACACAGCAAGTACAAGCCCTTCAAAGAACATTCGGTCCTCCTAGGGGAAGGTACACATTGTTCTTAAGTGGGCAACACTCCTTTGAGTGCTCGTACAAAGTACAAAAGAACAGCATTTCCCAAAAGAATAAGCAGCTTCTTATGTTGGAATTCAAATGCCTTGGTCATGGCTGGATTCCATTCAGCTCCTATGTGGGAGTATATCTGCACTGGCCACATAGGACCTCTTCATACATCCCTTTCAGGCCATGCCATTGCACTGGCCATCACCAGCGAAAGAAAAGGTGCAGAGCAGCTTGTGACACCCCATGTGCCCTCCCTCCTCCCCTCATCACATGGAAGGGATGGGAGAGGGTGCTTTGGCACCTTTTCCCTCCCCCATCAGATGGCAGAAAGAGTGGCAATGGGCAGCAATGTGTGTTGCCTCACCGCCCTTTCTGCCATCACAAGGGAAAATTGAAGGGAAAGTGTGGGTAGCTCCATCAGTGTTACCCAATCTAGACATTCCTCCACTTTGACAGGAATGTGGGTGGGGCCTGCTGTGCATTGTGTGATGAACCAGTCCTGACTCACATTAACCAAAGTCATGCGATACTCTGAATTCTGGTCCAGAATTTGGAGCAACTCTCAACTTAGGGACCTGTAAACAAATGGGCCAGTTTTGAGATAGAATGGGTTGCAACTGTTTACACTGCTCTCCTGTGTTTCCTGGGTTTGGTAAACACTTACCATCCCCTCTCATCACCGGCAGTGGCATTGGCCTGTGGGATGGAACAATTGGGCAAGGGAGGGGAAGAGGAGGGTGATTTCCCTTCTCTGCCCTCCTCCCTCCCTGTTACCCCTCTCTTGTCACACCAGAAGGACCCTTGTCATGCCCAGAGGCCACTGTGATGTGGAGAACAGAAGGGGAGGGAAGGGTTGCTGAAGCATAATTGTGGAAGCCATGGCATGTGCTGGATTGGCCCCAGAATGGTTTTTACAATTATGCCCCAGCAACCCTTCCCTTGCCTCCTGTTCACCATGTCACATTGGCCTCTGGACACAACACTGGTGAAGATCTGCCCTGAGAGAGAAAAGGTAGTTACATGGTGGTGGCTATGTTCTCTTTACTCAGGTGCATCTACACTGTAGAATGAATGCAGTTTGACACCCTCTTAACTTCCATGTTTCGGTGCTATGGAATCCTTGGAGGTGTATCTTGCTTTGGCAAAGAAGGCTAAAGACCTCTTAAAAATACAACAACCATGATTTCATAACATTGAGCTATAACAGTTGGGTGTCAAACCGTTCAAATTCTACCGCATAGATACACCCACAGAAGAATACATCTAGAGTTCCTTTGCTCAGTATTGCTGATTTGCTCTTTCTATCCAAAAGGTTATGAGAAATGCTTGCTTGGAAAACAAAAATCAATGCCACTAAAGACTATTTTAAAACAACAATAAAGACAAACCAATAACGAGAAAGGAAAGATAGGTCAAATGTTGGTCTCAGCCACAGCAGCTTTGCAACTGTAGTTCCAAGCAGATAGTTGGGGGTGATTTTTCTATTCTTTTCCCATTATTTAAATCCCAGGTAAAAAATAGAACCCTGACCGGGTTCAAATGAAGGTTGTTCTTAGAGCAACTTCTTCCTGCAGAGCTAGAGAAGGTTTTGCTGGCAGTGAATAAACCTCACAGTGTGAAGCCTGCTCATGACAAAGAAGGTATGTGAGAAACAGAAAACTCCAGTTCCATCGTTATCCCTGATTATCTGATTATCTGGAAGATGTGCAACCTTCTTTTAATCAAACAAAAATAAGAGAACCAGTAGGCTTCAAGCATACACATACACTGCAGGAATCCTAATTATAATTATTCACTGAGATATTCAAAGACATAGTTCTGTTTGTTTGCCTCAGTATACAAAGGGATCATGTGGTAGACTAAGGATTTTATCTCACTGCACTCTTATAGCACTATTATTCTACTTTAACTGCCATGGTAACAGCCTATGGAATTCTGGGATTTGTAGTTCAGGGAGGAGAAATTAAAATTCTCAGCCAGAAAACTCTTGTGTCTCACTAAACTACAAACCCCAACAGAAAGCTGCCATAGCAGTTAAAATGAAATAATAGCTCTAACAATGCAGTGCAACAGAGCTACAAGTCAATGAAAGTTTATGCTATCAATTTCTTTTTCAGTTATTCTCAAAGTGCTACAAGATAGTTAGGTTTACTTATAGAAGGGAATACTTAATTTGAGTAGTTTTCTAGATTCTACAATGCTTCAGATGTGAATGTAAGATGCATTCCTTTTACTATCACTCTCCCCTCTGGGCCCCACTCCATGCTTCCTTATCCCCCACCTTTCCCTTCCCATGTCTCTAATCTAATTTGGATTTGGGTGTTCCAAGTTGTGATCACTCCAGCACTTTCCTGCTGAGTAATGACATTGCTTGTTTGGACATTGTGAGAGGCAGCCTTTTCAGAGTTTTCAAACCGCAACGCTATGAATGCACCTCACCAAAGTAAGCGCACTCGGCGGCTGCCCTTTCTCAATGCTTCTCAGGATTGCATTGGTCACATCGCTGGAATATCCAAATGGCAAATGTTGAGAAGTAATTGCCACTAGAAGAAGACTTCTATTGTTACTGTGGTACTCCTGAAAGTCTTCTGGGGCTGACAGATGCCACTCCAGAAGGTTAATAAGATGAAGGCAGCTCTCCCAGCTGGACCATAAGAGGGATTATGTCTGAGCAGTAGATAAACGGCTTATTCCAGAAACAGACACTGCTTTTTTGTTGTTGTTTAAACTTCGTCACTCTTCTCTGAATTCTCACTCCAGTCCGACTTTTGTTCTCTTTGGGCAAGAGGTGGCGTGAGCTTGGGGTTTACTCAACTTCTGGATTCCCCGTCGGTGGTCACTTATCGAATGAGAGGACATTCCAAACACTTCAGTTTTAGGACAGCTGGAATTGTGTGTGGTTTTGCGTCCTTAAAAGCAACCCACTTATTAGGCCAAATCAGCATAACCATCCTTGAAAATTGTGAATGGTTAAAAAAAGCAGCATGCATATGAAAACTGGATTCATATTTCTTGTAATTTGCCTTGCGCTCCAAGTCCAAGGAAGCACAGGTAAGTGTGCCTTAAAATATAGTGTTGATTTACATTGCTGCTTCTGGGGTGAGAAGGGGCATTTAAGTAGGAAAGTTAAGGAAGAAGAAAATTATGTTTTTCACTGCTTAGAGCTGCATGACTATAAAAAGAAATCTTCAGTTCCAGACCTGAACATTTTTACTTTGAAATCAGAGTAATCGCTACAACAGAACTTAATAGATATTCCTATTAACTACTCTATTTACATTTTATGCTACTCTTCATTAAACTTTCCCAGTGGGATGATGAATACACATAGGATGACTACTTCATAGTTGGAACAGTAGACAGAATAGTTGTATAACTTGGTTGAAGGGCCTCTGAGGAATGTGCACCACACTCGATAAGACACTTCCAGACACCCCAAAAATAACTCATCTGAGACCAAATGTAGGTACACATCGCTTCTCAAAAAACTCAACTAGGGATGGCAATTGCTACATCCCATTCTGTTGTCCTGTGCCTTCAAGCCTGTTTTTACCTATGGTGACCCTAAGGCAAGCTTATCACATTATGTGGCTGAGAGTGTGTGACTCCCTCAAGGTCACCCAGGGAGTTCCCATGGTCAAACGGGGAATCAAACCCTGGTCTCCAGAGTTGTAGTCCAATGCTCAAAATAAACATTTAGTTCCAGTGAAAATTAATTGTGTCTATATTTATCTGGATTGAGATCTTGAGTAGCACTACACCATGTTTTTCTACTTCATGAATTCTGTACTTTTAACATTTGAAAGGTGGATTTAAAAGTAAAGGGTAAACACACATATAACCACATTTGTAAATTGCAATAGTCATCATTCTGCAGAGCGCAGGAAGGATAAAAGCACTGGTTTGTGTCTGGACTCAGTAATGCTTAAATCAATGGACCTCATAAGTCATGACTATTTTAAATCTCATTGATTTTACAAAGTCTGTTTTAAGATGGCCAAGCTTACATTCAATCCATTGTGATAGTATTTGCTGAAAAGGGCATTTCCCTTCTAATTCTCTGAAAAAGCTCACACAATTTGTTGCCATTTCTGTAATATGTAAGTGGGCATTGTTTCTCTTTTTCATTCTTGGCAGAAAATAGCCATATTTATGGCAGGGTGCTCTTTACTTTGCTACCGAGCTGATTTTCATTTACCCTTTTTCTTGAAAAATCATCCCAAATTTATATAACTGGATTTTTTAAAAAGGGATTAAATGAACTTTATTAGTTCTGAAATATCCAGCAGGTTCCAACCAAAACACAAGTAGGCAAAAATGCATGGATTATAACTTGTTATTCTTGGCATAAATATTCAATATATTTTACTTATACAGATTGGATTCCAAAGCCAAATACGTTCTTATTACCATTTCAGAATGAGCAGTGCTATATGAGCAATTGGCCTATATTGGTAATAATGTTTTCAGACTGTGTTTTCAAATAGAATTGTATATGCATATTTTTAATGATGCCAATTAGTGTAACAAACAATGATTTAATTAACTGGGGAGGACACTTGTTGAGAGGAAAGTATAATTTAGCTAAGTAGCAATGACACTTATAGCTGACGTTTTAGACCACTGTTTATTATTCTGTCTTTTTTACAATCCATTTAATGTAATCCTTTAATACTATTTTAAAAATTGGGGCATATGGGTAGCAAGGAAAAGTGAATGCTTATTTGTAGAGTTGTGGATAGAAAACAAATGCTTTTGTAATTATATTGATATTTTATAGTAATTAAGTTGCACTTACTTGACAATCTGGGAATTAACCATGATATAAATTATTTATTTATTTATTTTGTGTCATTGCATAAATAAATAAGTCTAAAACTGATAAAATAAAGGGAGCACAAGCTGCTAAATAATTTTAGATCAAAAACTGGCAACAGCAACCACATTGTCTGTAGCTTTAAACAATTCTTCCTCTGTGCATGAGGCAGGACATTTCGGGCAGGCATACAGATGCTGGGTTGTTTGTTCAGTTCCACAATCACACAAGGTGGAGGATTCTTCTAGGTAGTGCCATTTTGCCAGGTTGTCTTTTGATCTGCCAATTCTGCTTCTGAGACTGTTCATGGACTTCCAAGTTGCCCATTCTTGGAAGAAGACCCTCATGGGGAGCCATCAAGTTGGAATTGCCTGATTTTTCTGCCCACAGGGATATTCTTGTTGTTGCTGAAGGAATATTAAGAGGGGTGCTGGTTCTCATGAAACTTTTCCTAGATTTAAGTCTACTGGGAGGAGGTTGATAGCCATACAGTTGGTGACTTTCACAGTGTTCAATTGGCAATTGGAAGCAACTTTCTGTCGCACATCATGAGGGCAATGCCAGCTAGCTTATAAAGTCTATTGGCAGGTGTAGGTTTAAGATATCCTGTGATTATTCTACATGTTTTATTCAGTGCTATATTCACCCGCTTTGCATAGGAATATTTATGCCAGACGGGGCAGACATACTCAGCAGTTGTGTAAGGCAAGACCAGGGTTGAGGTTCTTATTAATTTTGAGTCTGCATCCCATGTGCTATAAGGATGTTATTGTGTGCATGTTACTCTGTGCTTGGTGTTTGCAAAGTGTTTCCTAAATGTTAGTGTTCAGTATAAGGTAACATTGAGATATTTAGGCTGGGAACAATGTTCAAGCTCTTGGCCTTCCCAGGTAACTTTCAATTTTCTGTTGCCCTCACAATTACGTAGGTGGAAAGCACACACTTGTGTCTTGACAGAGTTAGGCTTCAGGTGATTAAAAATTATATAACAGCCATGATTAAGAAAAAAAGGAAAGTTACTACAGGCAGTCCCCAAGTTATGGACAAGATAGGTTCTGTAGGTTTGTTGTTAGGTTGAATTTGTATGTAAGTCAGAACAGGTTCATTTTTAAGTGTAACTCCAGCCATATATGCTTTTAATAAAATAGGAATGGGTTAACAACCCTGTGGTGTGTGCTTTTCCATCTGTGCCCCTGTTCAAAAAAATTCACCTCACTTTCTGTCCCTGTGAGAATTAGATTTTGAAATTTGGCTTGTTGGTGAGAAAGCTTCAGCGGAGACCCCCTTTATCCGTGATAACTCTCAGGAGAGAATTTTCTGTCCAAGGGGAACATTTCTCTCACTTCGTGTTGTCTCACCCCTGTGCATAACCATGAGTCATTTGTAAGATAGATGTTTGTAACTCAGGGACTGCCTGTACACTAAAATATATGCTGGTCATTATTAACTCTTCATGTTGTTGGTGAAAATAGTAACCGAACAAAACCAGGCATAATTAGGTTGCTTTTTTAGAAGAAAGACTCATGATGCAAGTCAAATCCTATATGCCTTCATGTATGTTCTTTCATAGTTGTCAGTCAATTTCTTGGAACCCATAATTTTCATAGGTTTTTCTTAGGCAAGGAATCCTCAGATATGGTTTTTCCAATTCTTTCCTCTGAAATGTACCCTACAGCACCTCGCATTCCTTGGTGGTCTTCCATACAAGTACTTACCAGGTCTGATCTTGCTTAGCTTTCAAGATCAGATGGGATCAGGTGCCTTTAGGATATTTAGGCTTGTATACTCAAGAGGAAATCCTACTGAGTTCATCAGTTGTCCTCCCATGAAGATTGGTATAGGATTCGTGTTCAACTTCTCAAACTTCTTGACAGAAATTATGATTATCTCCCCCCAAAAAAGAAAAAAAATCTTTAAGTAAGCAATTAGTGAATCACATGTTTTATAAAAAGCAAGGAAAATATACCTAGATCAGGAAGGTAATGAGAAAAGATTAAATAATTAAATATTTTCCCCTTATTATTTTAAAAGTTCACACATAAGTTTAATTTATTAACATTGAAATGTATATGGCTTATGATAGATTTTTTTTAAGTAGCACTAGCATTTGTCCATTTGTGTTATAGCTCCGAGCATTTTTTAAATAGCAGCTGAAAAAATCCCATCCCTAGTTTTCTTGTTTTTTTAAGTATGACTTGAAAATGTATGTATATATTTTGATTCTCCTACTTCCTTGATACCTAAGCAACTGTCTACTTCTGCAGTATAATGTTACTATTATAATGCTGTCTGGCCTATACTGGTCAGAGATGAAGGTTGCAACAGCTTTTAGAGGCAAGCAGAAATATACAGCCACAACTGAATAAACAGTGAAATGGATTACCTACATGTCAGTGATTCCGACACAAGTCATGTGATGTGGAGAATCCACATGATAAACCACATGAGATGTCAGGAGGTTTGTGGGAAAACTTCCATTGAAGTAAGACAGCATGGAGTCTGATCTATATACACAGCTTGTGAGAAAAGATATTGTGCAAATCCTAGTGTTTGCACTACCTATGCTTTTCACTAACCACCTGCTTTATTGACATGTTCGTTTGTTCGTTCATTCATTTGTTCATTCATTCATCTATTATCACATCTTTTTGCAGAAATGCTACCCAAGGCAGCTTACAATATGACTGAAAACCAAATTCAGTTAAAACAATGGAAAACCAGTCAGTCATCCATAGCCATGGATTCCATATCCATAGATTCAACCACACACTGCTTGAATTTTTTTAAACAAAAGAATCCAAAAGCAAACTTCAGTTTTGCCCATTTATATATAAATCATTTTATCTTATATGGGTGTTGGTATCATGGGAGGTCCTGGAACCAAGCCCCAGTGGATACCAAGAGCCCACAGTTTCTAAATTACAATAAAATATAATAAAATGATTTAAATACAGTTCAGCACAACCCAATTCAAATACCTTCTGCAACAGACTATTCATTTGATATTTTATTTGTTTGTTTTGGAAATCAATTGGCTGTGGAAATGCTCCCACCATACCTTTCCGCCTTTCTGAAAGAATTTGGCATGCAAGTGACAGGGAGAGATGCACACCTATTGTGTCACTGTACTGCTGAATTGACAGTTTGGAGCATAGTTACAGGAGAAATGGATTTTCAAAGTACTACCCAGGCATTAATTTGCTTCTTTAATTATAAATAGAATTTGAGAATATTA